TTTAAAATTACAATAATAAAGTTTTTCTTTTAAAATAAATTTTAAAAGTTCTAACTTACTTGGGTAAAAGTACAAATAATTATTGTGTATCACATGAATATTAACAAGCATTTAATAACTTATCTCATTTACATCGATAAGCACAAGCTTTAAAAGTTTTACAGTTATTTTTATTAACTATAAAAGTTTTCACTTTTTTTCATAGTTACTAGTAAGTGTGACATAATTATAGTTTCAATAATCATTCTTAAGCTCATCTTGGGGATATCATCAGACTATCACACATGGTGAGCGTAAATAATCGAACATCACGCCATAGATACAACATCACTACCCTAAACACATCAGACTATTGACTCAGTAGAATGGGTCTCACTTTTAGTAAATCAAAGTAGAAACTATTGTATGCATGTACCTATTTATATCATACGTGTTAAGAATACGTAGTAATTAACTGAGTTCTAGTTTGTTTACCGACCAATTCATAACAAGTTTATCCTCTCTAGGATCCATTCAATGCACACAGTGCACTAATGTAACCAATCAGTGACAATTTAAAGGCAACAGTCACCCATGATTTTTCAAGTGTTTCAGGAGTAGTTGAATGGGCTGTGCCAATGTAATCAAATTGTCCAAATAAAAATTGCATAGAAATTCATACTTAAAAATAACACAATGAAACTAAATATTTATCTATTTTGAAAAATAACATTTTATATTTATTCTATTATTCTACTAGACAAACACCATAGACCGATTTTTTTTTTAAAAAAAAAAAAAAAAAACCATAGACCAATTATAATAAGAAGATTGGTTTATCTCAACATAGCATCAACTGAGCGGCAAAGGGTGTCCTTTTTCTCGGACCCTTGAATCCAAGGGTACCGACCGAGTAGAAAAGAAGAAAGATAACTTCTTCTTTTTTTCAAAACGATAGATTTCATTCATAGGGAAAATATACAAACCGAAAGACCGAAGTCTTAATGTTCAGAAAAAATACAAAGAGCTCACCCCACAAACCTACATTGGGTGACCTAGACTCAAATACATAAAAAAACACATGTCATAAGCAGAAACAATCTGAACCCTACAACATTACACACAACAAACCCAAAGCTGCAGGTATAGTACAAGAACAATAACAAGAAGAAACAGATACATGAAGCATATAATCTACTGAACCCAAAGGACCTAGATCAATATACCTACATCACTGCACTTCCTTCATTTGTCTGCAAGCTTTGAATTCCTGTCAATCCCCTGAAGCTGCCTGAAGAATAGCATGATCTGGCATCCAAACATCTTGAAACTTCCAGAAGTTCCGGGACATCCAAAGCCACCATAAAATATATGTAGACAACTCAATCCTGGCTTCAAAAACCTCCCTTTTATCCACTGAGCACACTCCCCACCACCAATGCTTAAAGGAGCCTGCAGCTGACTCTTCCCATTGCAGAGGTGACATCTTCCAAATTCTCCTTGCTCTACTGCATGTCAGCAATATGTGACCCACTGTCTCAGCTTCCTCCCCACAGCTCTTGCATATAGGATCAAAATCCAGGCCATTCCTTCTAAGGTTCATGTTAACTGGGAGAGTGTCTGAGTAACATCTCCAAATAAAGTGCTTGAGCTTTTGTTTAACTTTGATGCCCCAACTTCTAAATCTCACTTTCTTTTCAATAATCGCAGATTCACTACACTCTGCTGTATCAATCTCCCTCAATTTATTGAGAACTAGATAGGAATATGAGGTAGAGAATGAGAATTTACCTTTACTGTCCAGAGACCATAACCATTTGTCTTTCAAAAGAGGGTCAAGGGTAGTGATCTTCAACACAGCAGCTGCATCAGAGGGGTTGAAGCAAGTTTCCACTTTCATCCTGTCCCAAGTTCTACCATCTGCTTGAACTAGTTCATCAACCCAGGTAGCTAGATTAAATCCCACATCATTCCTCTCTGGCAGTCTGTTCATCACCCCTGGAATCCAAGGTTCATTTCAGATATTAATGCCAGTCCCAGTTCTTACCACAAGATGAAAGAATTCTCGGAATTTATCCTTCACCAAAAGCCAATTGCTCCATATCCATGAAGCATTGTAAGGCTTTGTAGCTTGTGACACAGTCCCCTTGGGAAAATACTTTCCTTTGAGAACTCTTGATACCAGAAGCTTTGGATTTGTAATAATTCTCCAGATTTGCTTCAGAATGAGTGCCTCGTTAAACAAGGCAACATCCCTGAATCCTAAGCCTCCTGCATCCTTTGGCACTGTGACTTTCCTCCACTGTTTCCAATGAATACCATTATTATGCTCATTTGTAGCCCACCAGAATCTAGCTGACAAACTTGCAATCTCCTTGCAAATGCCCTTAGGCAAGCAAAAGCATGACATAGAGAAGACTGGTAGAGCACCGAACACAGATTTAAGCAACACCTCCTTGTCTGTAAAGGACAGATATTGATTCTTTTAACTCACCAATTTAGCCCTGACTGCATTAAGCACATAATCAAAAGATTTTTTTTTAGATTTGCCAATACCTAGGAGAAGCCCTAGGTATCTAGTGGACCTGTGAACCTGAATACCTCCCAACAACTGACAAATCATAGTCTGAGTAGCTTGCATGCAGTTTTTACTGAAGAAGATGGAAAACTTACTGAGATTGACTTTTTGTCCTGTGAACCTCTGATATTTATACAATAAATTCAGCAGAATGGTAGAATGATTCACATCAGCTTCATAGAGAATTAAAGTGTCATCTGCAGACATAAGATGGGACGACTATTCTTTGCAATTCTGAACCCCTTAAACCTCCCTCTATTCACTTCAACATTGATTAATTTAGAGAAAATTTTTGATTTGAGAATGAAGATATAAGGGGACAGAGGGTCCCCTTGTCTAATTCCTCGAGAAGCCCTGAAATAACCTTGCACCTCAACATTAAGATTCAGAGAAAAAGAAGTAGAAGAAATGCAAGCCCACACCCACTTCACAAACTTAGCATCAAAACCCATCTTAAGCATAATCTTTCTGACCCCTCCCCATTCAATTCTATCGAAGGCCTTTTCCATATCTAGCTTTACCAGCATAAAACTTTTCCTCCCTAATCTAAGTCTGTTCAGATAGTAAATGGCCTCTTGTGCAATTACTACATTATCCAGAAGTTGTCTACCAGAAATAAAAGCAAACTGACTTTCACAAACACATTCAGACAGACAAGGTTTGATTCTTAGAGATAAAATCTTGGCAATAACTCTGTAAGAAACACTGCATAAGCTTATAGGTCCGTAATTCTTAAGAGAACATGGGTTCAAGCACTTAGGAATCAGAGAAACAATGGTGTGGTTCCAATTCTTCAGTAGTTGCCCAGACTCAAAGAAACTAATGATAGCTTTGCAGAAATCATGAGATATAACATGCCAAAACTTCTGAAAGAATAAAGGACTCATACCATCAAGGCCTGCAGCTTTCCCTGGATTAAGGCTGAATAATGTTGCTTTGATCTCCTCCATAGAAACAGGAGCAATTAGAGACTCATTCATTTCAGAAGAAATAGATGGTGAGATGAGATGCAAAATGTCTGCTTCCCCTCTTGAGCCCTCAGTACTGAATAGCCTCTCATAGTATGAGCAAATATAATTACTGATGTCTTCCTTAGTCTCCAGTATGTGATTGTTGTCATCCACTAGCCTTGTGATAGAGTTGAGTTTCCTCCTTTGCAGAGTAAGGGCATGGAAATATTTGGTGTTGGAGTCACCTTCCTTGATCCACTGAATTCTTGACTTCTGGGGCCAGTACTTCTCCTCTTCTTTAGTCACCTTGTCTAACTCTCTCCTCAATCTGTTCCATTCCTCCCAATCTCTGCCTGCACCCAATGTACTCATCTTGTCCAACTTACTGCTCAGCTCAGCCTTTTTCTAGACTTGCTCTTTTCTGAATAATGCACTCCATTTGAGAAGGGACACTCTTGTAGCTTTGAGTTTTTAAGAAACTTGATACATAGGAGTCCCTCCTGGATCAGCTTTCCAACCTTCTTGAACTGCCTCCTGAACACCATCCCTTTGCAGCCATCTTTTATAAAAATAAAATCTTCTTTTTTTGTTCAAAGCTCTGGTGGAATCATCAGTTAAAGATAGAAGTCTGTGATCTGATGCACTTCGATAAATATTGAAAACCTCAGCATTCTGATGATCTGCCAGCCAAACAAAGGAAACAAATATTTTGTCTATTTTCTCCTATATAAAGCCCTCATTCCCTCTATTATTGCCCCGAGTAAAATTGTGCCCCATCAAAGGCAACTCATGCATTCCCATTCTAGAGATAAACCCATTAAAACCCCTATACTCATAATCAGACATTTGTCTCC